GGTATGATCCATCAGCTAGAGGCACAAAAATAGATACCAAATATAATATTGTTGAGATTCGAGTGGACTGAAGGTACAAAGAGTATGACCCTTTCATAATGTCGCATGTTGTTAGGCAAGTTTATTATGTTCCATATCCTTCAATTCAACCATGTAAACTAGGATGGTGTGTTATAATCAAAACAAAACCATTGGGTCATATTGAAGTTGACGTTCTAGTGGAAGATGTTGCTTACCAAGAAGATGAAGTTCAAATTAATGGTGTGATCGAAATAGAACAAATTACAAGTTTGTGTGATACCGTGGTTGAGGGTCATCAGGTTGATGCATCTATATTGTTTAAAGAAAATAATGTGGATGAAGAGCATGAATTGTTTGGATTCGATAATAATATTGGATCACATGATGACAATAATATGGACGAGGAAGCGTATGAAGAGTTTGATTAGAAAGTTTTTGTAATTTGTATGTATGTGTGTTGATTCATCTATGTTGTTGGAAGAAAATAATATATGTATTTGTGTTGATAATAATATATGTATTTTGTATTTGTGTTGATTCATCTATGTTGTCGGCAGAAAATAATGTGTTGATTTAATAACTGCATGTTCTCTGAAAATAGATAAAATGCCACCCGACCTGAAAAGAAGAAGAGTAAGCCCCGACCGAGGATAAAGGTACGTGAGATACCATCATAGTCTGAGTGTGATCCTCCCCCACATAGTCAGTTAGATCACATGTTTGTGGACACTTATCAACCTTTAATGCCATTACTCGTCTCACAGGATTATCCTATGGTCCCATCTGGGACCCCAACATTTATCAGCCCATTTGGGCATATGCCAGGATCATACCAGCCTGGGAGATCACATCCATTTCCCACACAGGGACCCTCTCCTTTCATGCAACAGCCTGGGGGATCCTATCCATTTCCCACACAGGGGCCCTCTCCTTTCATGCAGCATCCAGGAGGATCATATCTATTTCCCACACACTTACCTATCTCATCCATGGATCATGGGGGGATCACGTACCCCACATCCCACACACGTACCTATCTCATCCATGGATCTTGGGGGGGTCACGTACCCTACAACCCACATACGTACCTATCTCATACATGGATCTTGGGGGGTCACGTACCCCACAACCCCCTTATACCAGTGCATGAGGAAGATGATGATCATGAAGACAACGAGGATCACGAGGAGCAGGAAAATCCTACTGAGTATGTGACGGTTGATGGAAGACTATTTATTAGGCCCAATGGACTTAAGTAAGTTTTTAATTTTTATTTCTTTTTATTTAAGTATACATGCTACCACTTTTATGTTTAATACTTAATCAAATTATTGTTGGTTAGTTTCGACCCAAGTCGAGCTTCTGCCAAACATATAAGTCAAGTCATTCTGCTAATGTATACAAAATTCATTAAGCGTTTTGGAGATCTTAAGAAGGGTGCTAAAGAAGAATGGTTTGATAAATTTAAGGTATAATAAAAAAAATTATGAGTTATGATATTTTAATTTTTTTGTTATATTTATCTAATAATTTATTTGAATGACATACAATATTGTAGGAAAAGTGTATGTAGCATAAAGTTGATGAAATTAAGATTAAAAAAATAATTTAAAGACAGAACATCAGTTCGACTATCTAACATGCTTAGGCGTGCTAGAACTCGTTGGGAAGAACAACAAGTCCGTCCTAAATGGATAGATAAAGAAGTATTTTAAGAACTTCTTGTCTATTGGGATTCATAGGAATTTCAAAAAGCATATGAAATTGCAAAGAAAATGCGAGAAGCTGAAGAGGGTTGCCTTAATGCAGTAGGAAGTATTAGTGTCGACGAGCATGCTCGACGAACGGTAAATTATATAACTATTTTTATGTTATATTTTGATTAATTATACATTTTTAATTCAATTTAATTATTTTAATCAGGCGGAAAAAAAGGAAGACAACACTGAATTAATGAGTTGTTTCTGAAGACCCGTACAAGAAAATCAGGGAGATTTGTTGATGAACATTGTAAAAAAATTATGTAAGTTGTTTATATTTCATATTTTATTTATTATTGTATATATGTAATTTATTTAAATTACATTTTATTTATTTATTTATTTATTTATTTGTGTATGTGTAGGAGAGGTTCGAGGATTTGCTCGCACAATTTCTAACTGAAAATTCTCAGTATACTCTATTAGAAGGACATCTGTTTGACCAACTGTTGATACTTATATTTAGGATTTAACAACCGGCGAAAGGCGTGCTAATGGATGTTTTTTGGTGTTGGACTTTGGCCGACAATTATAGAAAAGGAGATAGAACTATATTTTAAAGAGTTACTGATGGGGAAGGATCTTCTCATCCACCTGAATTGACACCAAAAATGATAGAAACAGAAAGACAATTGGTTTTTTCTGAGGCGAGACACGAGACAGCGGAACGTGAGGCGGTGGCGAAATGCGAGGCAGTAGAACGAGAGGCGGTGGTGAAACGTGAGGCAGCTGAACGAGAGGCGATGGTAAATGCCCATATAGAGGCTATGAGGCAGAGACAACTTGAATCAGAGAAGCAAATAAGACAATTGATGGGTGAAAATCAATAATTTGTTAAAAATGCGGGTGGCTCAGATGACTTGGATTAGATTAAGTGATTTTTTTTATTGTTATTTATGTTTGTGGTATGAATATCACGAGTAGACATGGCAACAAAACTCATATCCGCGGGTACACACCCGAACCCGCCTCGAAGTTGACGGAGAAAACCCGCTTTGACTGGGTTTGAGTTCGAGTTTGAATTTTCCCCGATTACAAAATATGGGAACGAGTCGGATAATGGAGATACTAGTACCCATCCCGAACCCGCCACGTTTATTTAATTAGGTACATTATTGTTTTTTTTTTTTTATTTTAGAATATTAAATATGTGGATAATGTTTTGATATTTGATTTGTATTTATCATTTAAAAAATTTGAAATGTATGTATGTGATTTTTTGAGATTGTTTTATTTTATAATATAATTTGATTTTGAAAAAAATAAATATTTCTATTTAAAAAAATTAATTTTACTAAATGGATGGTGGCGGACGGGGATACCCGAACCCAACCCAAATCCGTTTGGGACAGGTTTAGATTTTAATTCCCCATCCATGTTTGGGTTTGGGGCGGGGAACGGAGATTGTGTGGGAATTCGGGTTTGGGTTTGGGGGAGGTAAAAACCATCCCCGCCCCACCCCATTGCCATGCCTAATCACGAGAATAATTTTTTGTATTGTTATTTATGTCTGTGGCGTGAATATCACGAGAATAATTTATTTATTATCTTTTTTATTAATTATAATTCCGTATTTTTATATTTATTTGAAAAAAAAATTATAACATATAATTTTCATTTAAAGATTTATTTATTATTTGAAAATAATTAATTAGTTATAATTTTTGTATTGATATATTTATGATTTATTTTAAATCATACTAGTTTGTGTCGTGTTAAAAACGATACAAAATATCTGCACAAAAGTCTGCACACTCTGAACCATCCTGAACAACTCTGCGCATGTTAAATATTTAGGTCGTGATATTCATGACACAAAATTGTGTCATGAAGTTCACGTAACAAAACTATCTGTTGCGTTCTAAATCAGTTGCGAACTATTATAATTTTTGCGTCGTGAATATCATGACACAAATTTGTGTCATGAATATCAGAAGACAAAAAGTTGCCACCCTGCCTCATACTTTTTCCACGATGCAAATTTAGGTTGTGTCATATTTTTTACTTTTGTCTCGTGAATATCACGAGGCTGCCGCATATATTTCTTGTAGTGAAATTACTCGATTTTAAAGAAAAAAATATTATACTAACCAGTTTTTTAGTCAAATTTAATTGAGTGCTAACAACTTTCTGACTGATTTACCTCAATCCAAAATCTAGAAATGTATTATTCTTAATTTTTCTCCATGATCAATTTTTTTACTCTTTATTATACTTTTGTAAATAGATCGACTATTACCCATAAAAACACCACATCAATCCTTTAATTCAATAGTTTGGTCTCTAAGAAAGTGGAATATGACTTCAATATGTTTGCTCAATTTTTAATTAGTTTAATGGTTAATCTATTGTCAAATCATCAACTTAAAGTGGAATTTCATTTCTTTTAGCAACATGTCCAACCATATGATCTGGTAGAGTGCTAGCTATGCATTCAACTTCATATGAAGAAAAAGATGTCATTGGCCGCTTCATAGAGCAACAAGAGATCAAGGCTCAATGGAATTGAAAAATAGTTTATTTTAAAGTGACCACCAAAATAAACTATACTTTATAAATTAAATATTCAACTAAATAGAAAATTGAACATCAAATAATTAAATAATTAAAGAGTTTACATAAAAATACCTTAAATTCTTAATGTATTATCAATGTCAAGGGTAGGAATTATAATTTTTCTTTTAATCTTTTTCATTCCCACAAGCTTTTTTACATAAAAATGTTTTTTTATCTTCTTCATTCCCACAACCAATTTAATAATAAATCATGAGATTGAACAAGAGAGGTGAATTAAAAGGTCTAGAAAAATACTATGCAATTTAATGTGTAGGTATCCCTGATTATCATTAATTACTACCAAAACCAAAGTTCCCTGTCATCACATGGCCATTTCAAATCAGAGGACATTAGGAAAACAAGTACATGTCAAATCAAAGGACATTAAGAAGAACAAGTGCAGACATTGTCTAGTACAGTACATAATAGAGTGCAATAAAAATGCAGTTAAACACCAAAACTAGCAAAACAATTAACCACCTAAAAACAACACCACTAGCAAGACTAAGTCTGAGATGATCCAACCAACAGAAAACAGCAAAGCAAAACTGATAGGCAAACCATTCTAGAAACCTGGAGTATCAAACTCAATCCTCCTCAGAACTAGAAACCTGGAGTATCAAACTCAATCCTCCTCAGAACTAGAAACCTGGAGTATCAAACTCAATCCTCCTCAGAACTAGAGGATGCGAGTCCCGTGCCCATACAGTCATATAGAATATTTAATATGGGCACTTTTTCTTTGAACTTAGTCAAATCTAAGTATACAACAGCACCATGTAAGTCAATTTTAGAAGAACCCCAAAGCCTGGCAATTACCAAGGGATTGCCTATTACCTTGAATGCCTTGGCATAGCTTCTGATAGTTATATCTTCCTCTCCCATTGTAAGTGCATCGGAAAACTCAATTGGCAAATGATCAGCTATATCATTCATCTCCAGCAAATGCCTTAATATCTTTAAATGCTCCTTAGTACCCGATATCATTTGTATTAAGCAAAGGCAAACAATCACTCTTAAAACCAGCAAAGGAAAATAATTCTTCACATTCAGCTTTGAGTTTTTGAGCCATGTTTTGACTCTAGCTTGATCGTAAACAATATCATTCAGCCAATTCGCAAGGAAATCACATACAGAGTTTATGTCTCGATATTTATATTGCATGACCGAGGAAATTTGATCTTGGCATATGAGCCAATCTGTGAAAGAGGACTTTGTAGCATATATGTATCCCTTCAAGCCTGATATCCATAGCAATAACCGTTCAACAAGATACATAAAACAACCCGGAGTTATAAAGTCAGTTTCCGCTATCCAATTATATTCGCAACTGTTCTTCAATGCTTCATAGAAACTACGCATGCAATCTTTCTCCACTAATGATGACCCAATGCGAGACCTCCTGAAATTTTCAATGAATAATGTCCAGCCTGTGTTAGCTTCAAACTTTCTCCTAATTTGCGCAAAAAGTTCATCATTTATATTTCCGGTGCCAAGAATCATGACTATCAATCTTCCAATTACACGATCTGTCAATCCACCTTCCTGTTTAGTGTTGTTACAGATGACCTCTTTCAAAAAATCCTTCCATAATTCACTTGCTCTTTGATAAACCATTTCTCTTTCTAGAGATTTCTTCCAGTCAAGGTGAATTATGTAGTATCCTAAATTGTCAATAGACTTTCTGCTATATTTCTCTAGTAATCTCAAGTTATCCTCGGCATGCCTAAAACAATTTGACTTGAGAAGAAACTTTGACACCTCAAAGATTTGCAATAAAGACTGTATTTGCCAAAGTTCAGAAAGGGTTTTACCATTTGAAAGCTTGTTGAGTGTGCGCAAGACATCCATGCCAACAGATAATAATTCTGAACTCCAATATCTCTGAGCATACGACAATAAAGGTTGAACATCAATGGAGACTAGCCGGCCATTCTTCTTAATTAATTCATGACCCAAATTTTTCACCCAGTTAGCATCAGGAATGAGCAAAAGGTACTTGTTCCCTAGATTATCCCACTGGTTTTGTACCCCCAAATAGTTCAGTGCAAATTTCACATAACTGTTAGGCTCATACCACTCAGGTTGGAAATTTGAAAGGTATTCCAGCATTTCTACAATCTTATCCTTCCAACATGTCCAACAATAATACAGGCTCTCCACAGAAAATTGATCCTTTCTAATCATGCCTTCCACACGAAGAGCAAACAAATCGTCGGGCCAGACATACTCGGCAGATTTCAGCCGCAAATGAGAATCCAGCAGCTTCCACAAACATAATATTTCCCCTCTGACACTTTTATGGTAGCGACAACTATTCAACTCATCAATCAATTCAATATTTTTCTCATGCTTGTTTGATACTATTTTAGCTTCTGTAGATGCAAGTTCATGAAAGACACTCGTCCCTTTCTTTGCAAATGTCAACGCTTTTTCCAAAAGCTCGGCCTTGTGTGTAAACTGCTTTAAGGGCCATCCATTGCTTCCCTCTGACCAAAGAGAATGTGAGAGTACATAGAAAAACACAAGCTCATATGCTTCATAGCAGTCACCTGTTTTTCCATACAAATCAGCCTCGCAAAGAATGTTGCCCATCATCTTAGCAATATTTACCGCCTCCATATAGTTGCCTGATTTCTTTTCTAATTCAAGAAGCTCGTCAAGTAAGCTTAATGATCTTAAGAAATCACGCTTGAAATCTATCGAACGAAAGTCATTGACACATTTCATCACGGATTTGATATCTTTTTTGTCAAAATAACTGCGAGCACAATTCTCCAGAAACTTTTGCTTAATATCAACCCAATCCTGGTCACCACCTTCACTTTCTTTCCACTGTTGAAAGAAATCTAGGCCAATATCATACCATCCTCCTTTCGCACAAACATTCAAACATTCGGGGAAGAAATTTCCTCGAGTGTAAGCTTTAAGTGCCATTTCATAAGAACCGGCTAAACAAAAATAATCTCCGGCCCTTTTCAAATCTGACTCTACACCTTTTTCAATGTAAAGTTTTCCTGTTACAAGAAAGACGATTAATTATGTAGAGAAAAAGATGGTTTGTTATATATTCATATTTTACAATAGAAAATTTCATAAAAAGTTGAATTTCACACCAGCTTTTTCGTAATCCCCCGAATCAGAAAAGCATTTAGCAGCAGACTCGGTCATTCCTATGCTTTCAAAAATTCCTGCAGCCTCCCTAAAGATTGCATTTGCATTCTTGGGGTTCAAGTCTTGTAAATGCTTTGCAGTTTCCCTCAGACCAGTAGCTTTTGACATTTTTCCCCAATAAAAGTCTCTTGCATTTTCAAAACACATTGTTGCCATCTCATAGTTCCTTTCATAATATAACTGCAAATGAACAATCAAATTAATATTGCAGTATAAAATTACAAGTTATTTAGCTATATGGATAATTTAAGTTGCAGGGAAAATTATAATAACAAGCTAACAAGTAACACTGCTTAATAATATATAAATTGATTACTATGAAAACACAATGAATATGATGGTCCACTAACCTTTTTGCCACGCGACTTCCATTCTTCCGGACTACTTGCAACTTTCATTGTCTGAGCAAATGTATCATCCAGTTCTTTGAACTGTACCAGACATTTTGTTTTCCAATAATCAAACATAGGTCTGCAATACTCTTCTGTTTCCTCGCATATCCACAATCTCTGTCTTGTACGTGTTATAGCAACATATAGCTGTTTCAGCTCAGAACACAAAATATTGTGTTTGGAATCATTGAAATTTGGATAAGACTTGGATTTAGGTTCCAACAGACCTTGTTTTTCCATGTATCCATAAACCACCCTCCATTGATTTTTCATAGGTGAAGTGCCAAAAAAGTTATACAGCAATACATCCTGCAAAAGAACACAAGTTAGAAAGTTGACTATTTTATGAGGGACTATACAAACACACATTTTCAACTACCTGAAACTCAAGTCCTTTGCACTCCAGAACAGTTAAAACAAGAGCTTGTTTCCCAATACTGTTTAAAATTTCCTTCCGAGCATTATCATCACGTACCAATATTACTTGCTCAGCTCCAAATCCGACAAACTTCCCACCATCATGTCCAGTATTGCCAAATATTGTTACAACAGCATTTCTACTTCCACAATCAAGAACAACCGGAGCTTCTCCGTATATTAAACTGGTCTCGGGCTTTAAAACATCAATAGAATGAGGGAAATAACTGGAAAGAAGCTCAATGGTGCTCTGAGATAACGCGAGCACTCCAGAGTGAGTCCTAAAGTTCTGATTCAACACAAATGTTTCTGAAACATCTGCTTTATCCTTTGCTTGGTTGTAAGCACTTGTCTCTGATTCTGGCATGAACTTGTTGTAAAACAGAGATTTGATATCCTCGAACCTAAAATCAATTCCCCTTGCAATGGTTTGTGCAGTATCCCCACAGAAAACGAAACCAGCTTCTACATTTTGACACACATGCTTCAATAAAGCAATTTGACTCATAGTTAGATCTTGCACTTCGTCAATATATACAAAGTGAATATCATCACCCTCATATTTGTTAATCCTGAGTCGACGATGCAAGTCAGCAACAATGTCCGCCATATCAAAATCCCCTTTATCCATCTTCATTCTTTCATATTTTTCATAGATATCATATATGATCTCCCTTTTCTGCTTGCTTAAAGTGGACGCTCGGTTTTCAGACATGGAAAGATAATCGGAACGACTTAACTTCCCTTCAGCAAGATCCACAGATTTCTGACCCCCTTTTATATTAGACACAATTTCTGTGAACACTCTGGATGAATCTAACATTTTGGTATGCTTGGAATTGAATTGTGGCCAATATAATGCATTAAACCTTTCGTAAGTTACTTCCTTCTTCCTTATAAAAGTGTCCAAAGCAACAGATCTTACACCTAGGTTCTCAAAAGATAGATCACTAAATCTTTCAAAATAAGAATTCCCCACAGTCCCATCAAGCATCATTAGAAACTTATGAAATGTTATCACAAGTGGATATGAGTTGGGGGGAAGATTAACAAAAGAATCTGGTATGTTGTTAAACTGTATTGATGTATCAACATCAACTATATCTTCTTCCTCAATAGAACAGCTTTTGTCGGAAATATCCCCACCAGATATGAATCTGTATTGCATAGAAAACTCTGAATTAAATAAAGCTGATCAAATTATTTCAAAAGACTTGCACAAGTTACATACCTTTTCATTCTAACAATCTGCTGTTTCACTGCTTGACAAAGTTTAGGACTCACTGTTACAAATAATTGGCGTAAGAATTGCCTGTCATTAACAGTAGAACTCTCTTCGTTCTCTTTATCCTTACTCAAAGAAGGAACTTCAGCATTCTCCTCCTCCCTCTTAAATAATTTCATGGTCAAAACAGTGGTTTTCCCAGTGCCAGAGCGACCCAGTACGAATGTACTAGAAGGAAAGTTTATGATGTCATGTTCTTGCTCTGATACTTCAAATAGATGTTCCAGTTCATTACTATTACTATCAGAAAGTAAATAGTTAACCACAACAGCTGATACAGGATAGAATTTCATCAGCAGAAAACTCTCATCAACCTTTGAATCCTCAACATAACAACTCGATTCTGCTTCATTTCCATTATCATCAAGCTTCTGAATTTTGATGATTTCATCTGATTTGTCCCAAGCCATCGGGATCTCCTTCATCCTACAAAAGAAGCCAAACACAAACTATCAGTTAGCTAAAGCACCTTAGATGTAGTAATAAAATCTAATTCAAAGTACTTACTCATTATCTAAACATTTCTCACTGCAGCGACTTATAAAATCATCTGTATAACTTCCAAAAATACTATCAAGTCGCTTCACTACTTTAGGAATATCCTCTGACGGAAGTATATCCCATATCCTTAAGACTTGAGTGAAATCCAATATGTCCTTTGAACAGACAACAAAAAGACCTTCAACTTTATATTGTTGTAACATCTGAGATGTTTTTCCACAAACCAAATCCACTTTCCTCTTTTTTGGTCTCCATCCACTGGAAAGTTTGATTAAAACGTCAATGACCGACTCCTTTGTTCGCTTTGATGGAAGCTTTTTAAATGACTTCAAAAAAATATCACTGAAAAGAACCTGCACAAATGTTGAAGGAGGAATATAAGCCTATGTTGTTAATACCTCCTCCTTAAAATGCAATAGCACTACAGGGGGATAGAAGCAATTGCAAAGACAGAATCTCGGTGCAAACTAAACATTAATACTCAAAAATATATAAATAAAGAGACCCACATACATACTTAATGATTAAACAACCTAAAGTACATAGCAATAAAAATGACAACAAGTAATATTACAAAATATGCGATTCAAATAAATACCTTCCATATAGAGCTTTTAAAAATGACACTATTGACATTAAGCAAATCATCAAGTTGATTTAGCTGTTTCTTGGTATTGACGATAGCTTTAGCTAAATTCGGATCTTTACCCGCATCAAAGAAACAGTTACGGTTTTTAGCATCCATCACCAAATCTTTCCAGATATTTTTCTCATTTACTAGAGCACTCTCATTTCCCAATATCCATAGACAATACCTGTTTAATATAAAAGCAACAGCATTGATGCAAACATTTTTTGAACAAAAAAAATTCAATTGTAACAGTAGACATATGTTTTACCTAGCCCTTGTAAGAGCAACCTTAGTCCTCTTATCAAATGAAGTACTGCCTATGTTTTCAGCTCCAGCAGTTGAGAATATGACCATGTCTTGTTCTCCACCTTGAAAACCATCAATTGTTTTCACCGTCACATTGAAACCTTCATGTTTATCATACTTATGTCCCAGCATATCCTTAATTGCAACAACTTGGGAAGCATAGAGAGACACTACACCTATACTGAGGTGGTTCTTGTTTGAGTGAGACCATCCTACATCGTTTCAGGCAAAAGGAAGTTTATTTCCCATTTGAAAATAAGTTCAAAGCAATATGCTAATCACAATCCTAAAGGAATATTTTCTTTTCTGCAGGGAATAAGAAATTGCTAACATGATAAATAACAACAACGTAGGCACAAACCTGTGAAGCAGTTTTTAATTATTTTCATGACAACAGCTACTTCAACCATGTTTTTCCGACATCTTTGAGCATCATCCAATTCTTTGGTACCACAGCTTACATCTATGAAGGAATATGGACCAAACATTTTCTCTGGGAGATATGTCTGTATGCAGTTCTCTGTGTAAGTGTCTGGAGCATTTTCAATATCATTATTGGGATAGAATGTTGAATTTGGAAAGGAGCTTATCTCTGGATGCATCCTGTATTGTATGTTGAGGAAGTGATTTGGATGACCCAATGTGGTCAGCCTCGCAAATAAGCTTCTTCCGAAATCAGCTCCAAAAGAAACCTTACATATATCAAGGACAAGCATTACTATTAATAGTCAATGGAAATATTTCTAAATTAGCAAACAAAATGGGATATTTTTAGAATACATACACTACTTTCAACCATTGCTGGTAGCTGGAGTTCATCTCCAACAAGAATAACATGATTTATTTTAGGAAGAAGTAGAGGTATCACTGATTCACACTCTTTCAATTGTGCAGCTTCATCTATCACTACAATGTCAAGTGGCTCCATCTCAATATAGTGCAGTATAAAGGAACTAGAAGCTGTTGAAAATATTAACGAAGATGCTTGCAAACAGAAAATTTTGATGGACTCTTCAGTCATATCATTTGGAAGGCTGAGATTACCAAGTGAAACTTCAAGGGTTCTTAATAGAAAAAGGCAATCCGTTCTGATTTGGCACAATGAGAATTCAGCACCCTCATGAGAATTATGTTTACTTTCTGATATGTAAAGCTCTTCCAATACTTTATTATCAATATTATTTTTCAACAATAAGTCTTGAAACGACTCGAGGTTGTGAATGAGAGAAACCAAGTTTTCTAAGTTTTGTTCCATAATGCAACTTTTGGGTAAATGCAAGCATAATATAGAAACAAATTCCTTGAGTGGCGATGCTATGGACAAAAACCTTTCTTCTAGAAACTTTAGAAAAGACTTAGGTTCAAAGTGAGCCTGTTCCTTTCTCATCGGGTTCTCAATGAACATATAATAATGGGAAACAAAATTCTCAAGAAGATCAATCATTGAAAGAAAACATTGTTTCCAACCATTCAATGCGTTAAAACACTGTAAGAGTTTGCTGACACGGTAGTCCAAATATATCTCTTGGATATCTGCACCAACATTGAGCCGGTCATGATTCCCAAATAATAGCATATCTCCAAAATTACACATCAAAGCATCCCCATCATGATATGATTCTCTGACAATGCTCAACACACGCGATGCCACTTCCTTAATGGCAACGTTTGTAGGAGCAGAAACAAGAGTCCTACGATTCATTTTCAATAGAGGAAAAAGCAGCGTGGCCAGAGTTTTTGTTTTCCCGGATCCCGGTGGACCGCTAATAAGATCCACAGTAGACTTACTGCAATGAAAGGAAGAAAGGCAAGCACGAATTGCATTTTTTTGTGAGTCATTCAACTGAGATAACAAACTTGGATATGTTTCATCATCACTAAGAGCAAAAGGACTTTCCTCAACCTGTAGCAATGCAGAGATGCATAAAGTAAGTTGCAGCAAGAATTAAATTAAATGCCAAAGATGTTAACAAAGAAACATATCATTAACTAGCACATGAATAATGTTAACAAACAAACATATTACTAACTAGCACATGAATAATGTTAACAAACAAACATATCGGCTTAGTACATCACTAACTAGCAGGTGAGTAATATTAACAAACAATAAACAAGCAGTGAATATTAATAAAAAATTACCACATCTCCATCACATGAAATTTTGTGAATCAGCTTTGAATTTCCATCCATATGGAGAGCTGTCCATATTCTTTTATTGGTAGTGATATTCATTAAGAATATCATGAACAAAGGTTTTTCATGTTTGAGAGGGTTTTTAGAGATGACATTAAGAGCAGAAGCAGGTTTGGTATCACCCTCCTTTGAAATGCCTGTAGACAAGACAAAACTCCACCAATTTCCAGACCTTTTCAAATCATTAAAAGCTTGGGGTTTAAAATTAGCCAAAACGAAAACACCTCCAGGCTTATAAAGCTCTTTTCCATCACCAGAAAAAGTATCAGTTTCAACACGATATTGATTACGACCATGTGAAAGTGATTTTGAATGCTCAAGAGATAACACTTTAGCACAAGGTAAACTCGAAAAAATTTCAATACAAGAACAAAGCTGCGCTCTGGTTTCTTCCAACAATGGAGGCACAAATGAGTTCAAATAATGCTGAACAGAATGAAACGATAAACCAATAGATTCGACCTACAAAAACAAAACAAAAAATAAATTAAAATGCAATAGGAAAAAAATAAAATAAGCAATGAAGAAAATTGAAAACCTCGTGCTTGTCGAAAATGTCGTCGAGAGACCATGAAAACACATTGTTGATGAAGGTTTGTCCATTCCAAAGTTTCTTTTTGGTTGAAATGGAAGTTGAACCACTCATTTTGTTTAATCAACAAGGTTTCAGTTGCTATGGAGTATCAAGAAAGATGAAAACGGAGTATCGAAGGTTTCAGTTGCAATGGAGCATCAAGAAAGGTGAAAACGGAGTATCGAACGTTTCAGTTGCTATGGAGTATCAAGAAAGTTGAAAACGGAGTATCAAGAAAGATGAAAACGGAGTATCTAAGGTTTCAGTTGCTATGGAGTATCAAGAAAGATGAAAACGGAGTATCTAAGGTTTCAGTTGCTATGGAGTATCAAGAAAGATGAAAACGGAGTATCTAAGGTTTCAGTTGTTATGGAGCATGAAGAAAGGTGAAAATGGAGTATGTGAGAAAGTTAGAGTGTGAAGATTTCAGTTGCTATGGAGCATGAAGAAGAAAGGTGAAAATGGAGTATGGAAGATTTGTGAGAATGTTTGAGTTTGTTAAGATGAAAATGGAGGTTTGAGTTTGTTAGGATGAAAATGGACGTTTGCGTTTCTTGTGATGAAAATGAACGTTTGAGTTTGTTAAGATGAAAATGGGAATTTCTTTCTTTACAAGTTTGCATTGAGAATTTTGTCTTACTATAACCACTAACCACGCACAGTGTACGTACCAAGGTCGCTCACACCATGATTATTCTTTTACTGCACTAAACTCATCTTCTCCCTCTCTCTCTAGCAGTACTATTCCTTTAATGCTTTCATTCCACACATATAATTTCTTTCTACCATAGAGGTTTTCAAAACCATATCGTTATTTTTAAATGCAGAGGTTTTCAAAAATGCGAATGTCCTCACACTAATTGTGATTGTCGCTTATAAAAATTTTGTTTTCGACACATGTCAATATCATTTTGTCACAGTCATTTTCACCGCTGATATGTTTATACAAGTGAAGACCTTAATATAATAGTATGTAACAATTTCGATTTTAACACGTTTCTAAATTGTTTTATCGAAGTTATTTTCACTAATCATATTGTAACACGGTGGGAGAACTGACTTGGAATATTTTGCGTTTTATCGTAAATATTGCGGTTAGCCAGAGTCGTCACCGACTTTTCTTTTATCCAAAAGGAAAGGCTGAAAAGAACAGGAAAGACCTTTGAGATTATTTCTGAGTTCGGGGTAGATTATGAAAAGTGAAGGTGTTAGCACCCTTTTCATCCATAATTATCTATGGGCTCTTAGTTGCTTGCTAGATCACTTGTTTTTGTTTGAAAATGTGCTTTGTGTGGTTTTTGAAAGTGTTTTGAAAAGGCGTACTCGTTTAGGCAAACTTTGTAATAGTTCTCGTTCGTAAGAACGTATACAAAATCTTGAGCTTTTGAAAAATATTTCATGTTTGGAAAAGGTTTTGAAAGTGTTTTGAAAGTGTTGGTATTTGTTTTGGAAATGAGCAAGGATGTTTGATTTGAAAGTGAGCAAGCAACTAGGAACGTTTCTACCTACTCAAAAGTCTTTTGTTCACTTCTTCCTTTCCTTTGACATTGTTATTTTACCAATGATTTGGTAAGAAGCCTTATCTTTGGATGTAAAGGGACGGACGTGGGTCATCGTATAGTCATGATAGCAATGTTGTGAGATATCTTAGCATTTCTCTTTGAGAGACTAAGAACATTTGAAAGGCAACATTTGTGGCGTCATCGAGGGACTATGATCTTGTATTTTTGATTATTCTTGCTAAGATATCCCACATGCATAACATGACTATTTTTATAAGACAACAGTGGAATTACCCTAAGGGTGCTCTAGCGGTAGAAATGTTCAAGACTAAGCCATTTGATTGACTAGACTTTATACAAATAAAAATCGTCGTCGCGCTTTATTGTTTCCAGAGGAATGGGAAAAGAGCGAATAACCCAAAAAAGGAGGGAAAGATTCAAGGTAAGAGGTTGGTTATGCAAAGGGAAGGTATTAGCACCTTAAACATCTACGGTACTCCGCAGGAACCTCTTTGTAAAAATCTGTATATTTTGGCTATATAAAAAATGTGTTATATAGAAAATGAATGGTGGAGGTGAGAAGAGAAATATATTTTTTATGATTTTTGCACCCGCCGCGGTTGCGAACCTTTAGTGCCTACGTACCACCTTTCGTGCAATAGGGGATCAAGGTACACGTAGTTCCTCTTTTTAAAAAAATGAAACTGTTGGCTCTTAAATTCGACACCCTTGTTTCATTAATGTCAGCCATTAAAGCTGAAGGATGTTTTCGACCAGCTAGGTCCGTCGAAATGCCCATCGAAAGATGGCACTGTACTTAGAAGATTTCTTCCAAAGGAGAAGTTGGTTGCCTTCGATGTCGAAGGTGGTTCTCGTCGAAGATGTTTCTCGACGAAGGTGTTCGATGGTTCAGAGCGGAACGGTTTGAAATTCAAGCGTTTGGAGGGAAAATGGTTTCCAGCGGTTACCAAGTGCAACGTGCAAAGATCTGGAGCGTCGAACGTTGAGAACGTGCCAAGTGGGATCATCTCGAAGCAGTGTAACTGCCCGACGGTTACTTGGGATGTTTTAGTATAAATAGTAGTAGTTCACGCAGTTTCTCGCGTGTGTTCACAATTATATACAAAGTCACTCATATAGATTCGAGTACCCAGCGTGTGAGAAAGAATTGTTGAGAAATATATGTGTGAAACACCAACTTTATTAATCAAAGTCATTTACTTTTCCAGAAATTTTACTTGCTTTCTTCTTTACTTTCCCTGTCGAAGTCCTTTACTTTAAGCCTTCATTTATTTTACCAAGCCTACTTCTTCATGCAATTTACTTAAAGCCTCTTTATTTTATTGTCATTTAACCATTATCCAATTTAATCAAAACCTCAAAATCAACCTATGTCCTAGGATCAATCTGATCGATCCTGCGAGTAACCAAATAAGTAACCATTTGGAGGATCAGCGGTTGTTTACCAATAACCACGGTAAACAAATTGGCACACCTGGTGGGACTGTGTGTTGATTCTTGAAAATAATCTCATCTTTTCGAGGAGTGTTGCATGTTATTGAGAAGTGGTAGAATATACACCAACGATAACAATACTGCTAGAAGAAGGGAAGAGATGCCGAATCCACCAAACAATAACGAAATCCCACAAGCGAATGTGGGAGCAACGGTTATCCCGACCGTAAGTGAAGCGATAACCGCTGGTTCAACACCAGCAGTAACGGTCACAGCAACTGGGCCATTACCTCCGTTCACAGGCCCCAGAGTGCCTTTGGGAACTCCCCCACCAAGGGGAAATTTAGGCACAAGGCCTTTTGTTCCCCCAGGATTTATGACAGGCGGTCATAATCGAGAACCACTCTATGGCATGCCAACTTCTGACTTGGCTAGCCTGACGAATGCTGCGTCCACTTTTTCAGACCCTTTAGTGAGTGCCTCTTCGCCACTCCAAGGTTCTGGAGTAGGTATGGCGAATAGAAATAGGACCCAACTCTTAGGAGGAACGTCCCAAGTAGCCCATGGCCTTACAAATGCCTCGACAGCAGTCTTGAGGCAACAAATGGACGAAAGCAACCATGATATGGTGCAAATGTTGGCACAAACTTTAAGTACAGTGCTGAACCCTCTAATACAAAACACTACTCAATCGAATCAGCAGATGACAGCGCAAATGACGCGTTTGGCTGATTTCTTTGGAGTACCCCAACCTATTCGACAGCCCCAAAGGGCGCAAATAAGGGGAAACCAGGGTGTATTCTTAGAGGAAGAAACCACCATCAACCAAGTCCAACAGCCTGTCGAAGAAAACCTTAGGGCACGATTGGAGCAACCTGTCGAGGAACCTAGGGTAATAACCCCAGAGGTAAGGTTAGTTAACAGAAACCAAAATGCTGACGAAGTAGTTCAGCATATCCAATACCAAAACATGGGTTTGGAAAATAATCTGGCAACCATGATCGAAAGGATCATGACTCAAAATGGGATGAACATGGGCTTTCGAAGGCCCAACTTTACATCCCCATTGTCAGAATACGTGTTACAAACAGACTTACCTCCTAGATGTAAAGTCCCCAAATTCACTAAGTTCTCTGGGGACACGACAGAATCTACTGTCGAACATGTGGCGAGATACTTGATCGAAGCAGGAGATATTTCGAATAACGAAAACCTGAGGATTAAGTACTTCCCAAGTTCTTTAACAAAGAACGCTTTTACTTGGTTTACAACTCTTCCCCCCAATTCGATCCATCATTGGACCCAGTTGGAAAGATTGTTCCATGAACAATTCTACATGGGGCAAACCAAGATAAGCCTGAAAGAATTGGCCAGTGTAAAGAGACGTTTCACTGAACCTATAGACGAATATCTAAATAGGTTTAGGTTGCTCAAGGCGAGATGTTTTACACAAGTGTCGGAACATGAGTTAGTCGAAATAGCCGCAGGCGGTTTAGATTATTCCATTAGGAAGAAGTTAGACACCCAATACCTGAGAGACATGGCCCAACTGGCCGATAGAGTTCGACAGGTAGAACGCCTCAAAGCTGAAAAAGCAAAGGCAACGAAAGCTCATAAGAGAGAGAGGATAGCGTATGTTGAGATGGATGACGAAGATCCAGAATCCTTCGACGATACTATAACTGTCGAAGAAGGAGAAGTCGATTTAGCGGAACTAAAACAAGGGCCACCATACTCTTGCAAACTGTTAGTCCCCTCAAGTGGGAAAAATCCCATTGGTCCAGAAAGGACCAACGATAGGTTCCCCAAAAAGACTTATAGTTTTGACATCACAAAATGTGATGAAATATTTGACTTGCTTGTAAAAGATGGCCAAATGATAGTACCCCCAGGGGTAAAAGTGACTCCTCTTGATCAAAGAAAGAAGAGAGGCTTTTGCAAATATCATAATTTTTTGGGCCATAAAACTTCTCAATGTTTTCTTTTCAGGAATCTTGTGCAAGACGCTATCGAAGAAGGGAGGTTGAAGTTTGCTGACAAAACCCCCATGGCTGTCGACTCAAATCCATTGCAGGCTGAAGCCCACTATGCTGAGCCTTCTGAGGTGAACGTGAT